GTCCAAAGAAAAGTGCGACAGGCACCGAAAAAAGCAAAAGTAATTATGTAGTCCATTATTCTAGCTCAGGTGATGTTACGAGCTTCTATTTTCTAGAAGGCATACCTTGTGCGCTAGTGAGCAAATCTTGTCACCGGATATGATGGCACAACTGCCCATTTGCTCTCCATTACATCAGGTAAATGTCTCGCTCGTTTAATATCCGTGCCTGAAATTTCTCTAATGTTGCAGGCTGCTCTCAATCATTCGGCTCTCACCGACATGGCTTTGCATCCTGGTGGGCCCACATTGGTAACCTCACCCCAGTTGCCTTTGTTTCCTGGCTTACCACTCTTGCCGATTTTGGATTATACAAGGATGTTACCCGTTCCAAGCAGTTTGTTTTAATCATCATAAATTTACTGCTGTGTATTGCTTTTTCTATCTGTTCCATCTGTGCCTCTTATTATATTATGCTTTAATGTTCTCTTCTCCAATTATCTTTCCTAGGTGAACGGCGTGCTTCTGCTGGTGAAAACCTGTTAAACCCCGGTGCTATAGAAAATTTGAATCACCTCGTCCAAACTGCTCCACCATCGGCTGCTGTCCCTGGCAGTGTCGAAGAAGAGGGCGAGGGGTAATTCCAAGCAAAAAGCTTACTCATGTTATGGTTATGAGGACTTTGCCATATCTTTAGATATCTCAACAAATACTCTGGCAAGAGAAATACCGTTCATGGTGCCTCATCACCGTTTGGACCATCATCTCCAGTTCCACGGCATAGTCCATATACTAAAGCATCTTCAACGGAAAGGTTGTTTCGCACCTCTATGCACTCATTGTTTAGACATTTTTATTGAAATATACTATTTAGACGTAGCAGTTGGGCATCTCCGGCTATAACTGCTCAACAACATCAGCAATTGGAACGGTTATACCGCCAAGCCATTTCTGGTTCTGGTTGGTTAACATAGTTTTTTTTCCTTCACATTTCTGTTAGTTCCCCTTTTTATTCCATGTTGTTAAGCTCTAGTTAGTTTGAAGGCTACATTAGTACCAGCTTTGTTATGACTTGCATCTCAGAATTTATTTCTTTTTTTATACTCAAAACATTGTGATTATTACTGCTAGCCCTACTTGATTGCTCGAACATTTGTGTTGGCTTCTAGGCGGAAATGACTTGATGGGGATTCAAGTGTTACAAAAGGAATTTCAACGACTTGGTCAGATTGCTGCGCAAGGATGTAGCCCGACGTGCGTACCGTGTTATGGTTTTTATATTCCATTTTGGAACGCTGCATATTGTGATTGTTATCCGTAGTATTAGCTGCTCTCTAGACTGAATTTGCAAATTTTACCAACATCAATGTTTACGAAGAGATTCAATTTTTTAGTGCAAGCCGATCGCCTACGCACTTTTTTGACCACCGAGCAGCCCCTTTCGGATGCCCTCGAATTTCGATCACCGATGAACACAATCGCAGTTTAGCACCCGGGTCGAGTTCATTTGACCCAGTGAACCTATTTGAGCAGAAAGTAAATTTCAGTGAGCTTGAAGTATGCCGCATGTGCCTATTGTTCACTTTCTAAACATCTTTTTCTAAAGGTGAATGAAGTGGTGTTCGGGCAAAGGCCAGCAACAGTGATTGGTTTCGCCTCCACTTCCAAGTCTGGGACGTCCTCTCCTGAACAGAATGTCAAGATTGAAGATAGGGACAACATGGATGATCGAGTGAAGGTGAGATCACTTTCTGAATTTGGCACTAG